TTTTTTTAAAAGTAATATAAAAAGCGAGTTTCTTGTTGCGACAGAAATTTGATCTCATACAACACTGCACTGTTCAGTGTGATAGAAAAACTCACTCAACAAGTCTATTGGCTAGTACTCACCATAACCGCACATCGTGTCCTATCTTCTACATATTATTTTGGTATTATTTAGAATTAAAACAAAATAATAATAATTTATTATATCTATATAAATGTATTTTCACATGTTAATAGATTAAATAAACAATTTTTAAATGAAATAGTCTATGATTTTCTCTCTTTCAAATAGAGGTGGTAACATCGATAAAGTCTATGATGTTCTCTTTTCTTTCAAATAGAGGTGGTAACATCGATAAAGTCTATGATGTTCTCTCTTCTTTCAAATAGAGGTGGTAACATCGATAAAGTCTATGATGTTCTCTCTTCTTTCAAATAGAGGTGGTAACATCGATAAAGTCTATGATGTTCTCTTTTCTTTCAAATAGAGGTGGTAACATCGATAAAGTCTATGATGTTCTCTCTTCTTTCAAAAAGAGGTGGTAACATCGGTAAAGTCTATGATGTTCTCTCTTCTTTCAAATAGAGGAGGTATCATCGGTAAAGTCTATGATGTTCTCTCTTTTTTCAAATAGAGGTGGTAACATCGGTAAAGTCTATGATGTTCTGTCTTTCAAATAGAGGTGGTAACATCTGTAAAGTCTATGATGTTCTCTTTTCTTTCAAATAGAGGTGGTAACATCGATAAAGTCTATGATGTTCTCTCTTCTTTCAAAAAGAGGTGGTAACATCGGTAAAGTCTATGATGTTCTGTCTTTCAAATAGAGGTGGTAACATCTGTAAAGTCTATGATGTTCTCCTTTCTTTCAAATAGAGGTGGTAACATCGGTAAAGTCTATGATGTTCTCTCTTCTTTCAAATAGAGGTGGTAATATCGGTAAAGTCTATGATGTTCTCTTTTCTTTCAAATAGATGTGGTAACATTCATAAAGTCTATGATGTTCTCTTTTCTTTCAAATAGAGGTGGTAACATCGTTAAAGTCTATGATGTTCTCTCTTTCAAATATAGGTGGTAACATTCATAAAGTCTATGATGTTCTCTCTTCTTTCAAATAGAGGTGGTAACATCGGTAAAGTCTATGATGTTCTCTCTTTCAAATATAGGTGGTAACATTCATAAAGTCTATGATGTTCTCTCTTCTTTCAAATAGAGGTGGTAACATCGATAAAGTCTATGATGTTCTCTTTTCTTTCAAATAGAGGTGGTAACATCGATAAAGTCTATGATGTTCTCTCTTCTTTCAAAAAGAGGTGGTAACATCGGTAAAGTCTATGATGTTCTCTCTTCTTTCAAATAGAGGAGGTATCATCGGTAAAGTCTATGATGTTCTCTCTTTTTTCAAATAGAGGTGGTAACATCGGTAAAGTCTATGATGTTCTGTCTTTCAAATAGAGGTGGTAACATCTGTAAAGTCTATGATGTTCTCCTTTCTTTCAAATAGAGGTGGTAACATCGGTAAAGTCTATGATGTTCTCTCTTCTTTCAAATAGAGGTGGTAATATCGGTAAAGTCTATGATGTTCTCTTTTCTTTCAAATAGATGTGGTAACATTCATAAAGTCTATGATGTTCTCTTTTCTTTCAAATAGAGGTGGTAACATCGGTAAAGTCTATGATGTTCTCTCTTTCAAATATAGGTGGTAACATTCATAAAGTCTATGATGTTCTCTCTTCTTTCAAATAGAGGTGGTAACATCGGTAACGTCTATGATGTTCTCTCTTTCAAATATAGGTGGTAACATTCATAAAGTCTATGATGTTCTCTCTTCTTTCAAATAGAGGTGGTAACATCTGTAAAGTCTATGATGTTCTCTCTTTCAAATAGAGGTGGTAACATCCGTAAAGTATATGATGTTCTCTCTTCTTTCAAATAGAGGTAAAACATCGGTAAGGTCTATGATTTTCTCTCTTTGAAATAGAGGTGGTAAGATCGGTAAAGTCTATGATGTTCTCTTTTCTTTCAAATAGAGGTGGTAACATCGGTAAAGTCTATGATGTTCTCTCTTTCAAATAGAGGTGGTAACATTCATAAAGTCTATGATGTTCTCTCTTCTTTCAAATAGAGGTGGTATCATCCATAAAGTCTATGATGTTCTCTCAATTAAATAGAGGTGGTAAGATTCATAAAGTCTATGATGTTCTCTCTTTCAAATAGAGATGGTAACATCGGTAAAGTCTATGATGTTCTCTCTTCTTTCAAATAGAGGTGGTAACATCGGTAAAGTCTATGATGTTCTCTCTTTCAAATAGAGGTGGTGACATCGGTAAAGTCTATGATGTTCTCTATTTCAAATAGAGGTGTTAACATCGGTAAAGTCTATGATGTTCTCTTTTCTTTCAAATAGAGTTGGTAACATCGGTAAAGTCTATGATGTTCTCTCTTCTTTCAAATAGAGGTGGTAACATCGGTAAAGTCTATGATGTTCTCTCTTTCAAATAGAGGTGGTAACATCGGTAAAGTCTATGATGTTCTGTCTTTCAAATAGAGGTGATAACATCGGTAAAGTCTATGATGTTCTCTCTTTCAAATAGAGGTGGTAACATCGATAAAGTCTACGATGTTCTCTCTTCTTTCAAATAGAGGTGGTAACATCGGTAAAGTCTATGATGTTCTCTTTTCTTTCAAATAGATGTGGTAACATTGATAAAGTCTATGATGTTCTGTCTTTCAAATATAGGTGGTAACATTCATAAAGTCTATGATGTTCTCTCTTCTTTCAAATAGAGGTGGTAACATCGGTAAAGTCTATGATGTTCTCTCTTTCAAATAGAGTCGGTAACATTCATAAAGTCTATGATTTTCTCTCTTTCAAACATAGGTGGTAACATCGGTAAAGTCTATGATGTTCTCTCTTTCAAATAGAGGTGGTAACATCGGTAAAGTCTATGATGTTCTCTCTTTCAAATAGAGGTGGTAACATTCATAAAGTCTATGATTTTCTCTCTTTCAAATAGAGGTGGTAACATCGGTAAAGTCTATGATATTATCTCTTTAAAAAAGAGGTGGTAACATCGGTAAAGTCTATGATATTCTCTCTTTAAAATAGAGGTGGTATCATCGGTAAAGTCTATGATGTTCTCTCTTTCAAATAGAGGTGGTAACATTCATAAAGTCTATGATGTTCTCTCTTTCAAATAGAGGTGGTAACATCGGTAAAATCTATGTATTCTGTCTTTCAAATAGAGGTGGTAACATCGGTAAAGTCTATGATGTTCTCTCTTCTTTCAAATAGAGGTGGTAACATCGGAAAAGTCTATGATGTTCTCTCTTTCAAAAAGAGATGTGGTAACTTTCATAAAGTCTATGATGTTCTCTCTTTCAAACATAGGTGGTAACATCGGTAAAGTCTATGATGTTCTCTCTTTCAAATAGAGGTGATATCATCGGTAAAGTTTATGATGTTCTCTCTTTTAAATAGAGGTGGTAACATTCATAAAGTCTATGATTTTCTCTCTTTCAAATAGAGGTGGTAACATCGGTAAAGTCTATGATATTCTCTCTTTAAAATAGAGGTGGTAACATCGGTAAAGTCTATGATATTCTCTCTTTAAAATAGAGGTGGTATCATCGGTAAAGTCTATGATGTTCTCTCTTTCAAATAGAGGTGGTAACATTCATAAAGTATATGATTTTCTCTCTTTCAAATAGAGGTGGTAACATCGGTAAAGTCTATGTATTCTGTCTTTCAAATAGAGGTGGTAACATCGGTAAAGTCTATGATGTTCTCTCTTCTTTCAAATAGAGGTGGTAACATCGGTAAAGTCTATGATGTTCTCTCTTTCAAAAAGAGATGTGGTAACTTTCATAAAGTCTATGATGTTCTCTCTTTCAAACATAGGTGGTAACATCGGTAAAGTCTATGATGTTCTCTCTTTCAAATAGAGGTGGTAACATTCATAAAGTCTATGATGTTCTCTATTCTTTCAAATAGAGGTGGTAACAACCGTGTTAACTAATATATTTTAGGATACTGACTAACACATTGCTCCAATTTTAACATTATTCAACTGATTTTCTTTCTGTCTAAGTTTCTTTGACACACAACTGCAGGCTGCACATACTTTGAAATAACAACAGAATTTAAATAGTGTTTTATTGAGCGTGAGGAATTACAGTAGAGCTTCAATTTTCCGAACTCATGACGCCTGGGTGTTTCGGATAACCGAACATCTCCACGAGAATATTGCTTTGAATAATTGAATGCACATAATTCAAAATAGATTGTTACCTTATACTTTTGCACCTATTTTGCTGAAATTGTACTTAATATTAGAAGAATTGAGTGCAACAAAGATATCCAGTAACTTAATGAGACACAATTTGTGTAAAATAAAACATTATATTTTAAAGCTTTAAATGTTTTATTTTACACAAATTGTTGATCTTTTATAATATATTAGTGCAGTATCTTAACCGCACCACGTGGTGTTTTGGCGTTAGCGGCTTCATGTCACAAACCAGCGGCCACCGGACTTTGATTTTTGCAAGCTGATTTCTTTTCCAAAATAGATAACTGTTACTTGGAATAAAATCAGAGTTCACTTTATCTTTGCAGGCGTGTATTGTGCAATGTATCGCATTATCCAAATGTGGTCACTGCATGCACAGTACCTGTTTATAATTTTATCTAGATTCAGAGACAGGGATCGGAATCTTTTTCCGGTACTTCTAGGCATATGCTTGATCTCAAACACATTGCGTTGATAAACATAAATAATAAAGTAAATGGGCTGTTCGGATGGCCGGTATCGTAGATTACAAAATGTAGCGAGCACATGTCGCAAGCCACGTTCACGGGTCACAGGCCACATGTCACAAGTCACAGGTCACAGGTCACATATCACACTTCACAAGTCACAGGTCACAGATCACAAGTCATACTAACTTTTTGAATAATCCAAATTGATGTAAGTTTTATTGGATAACATTTTTCCTTTGAAGGCAATAAAGTTGAATAAAAATAATAAAAAATTCAGCATGAGTGATTCTTCTTCTAATCCCCAGCCAGCACATTACAAAAGCATATGAAGAAAAGTTATACTATAAAGTTTATTTCAATTTTGTAGGTTTGAAAGTCCGAGGTGTGTGTATGTCATTGAAATTTAATCGTAACAGCAGAAGTTCAGTAAACACACTGACCCCTGGGGACACTCGTTCATGTCGTAGCAGGAGAAGGCTTCATATTTGACACTGAGGCGCGATTCTGCTTTGGCCAACGAGCTTTCTAGGATAGGCTTGGAGCTGACGATCACTGCCAGGGTTGTGTTTGGGCAGGTCAGGTCCAAGAATTCAGGAACTGAAAAGTCCCCCAAAAAATAGGTCTAGTATATGTCTTTTTTTAAAAGTAAAAGTAAAGATTATTTAAAAAAAAAAAAAAAAAACCAATTAATTTGTTGAACTTAATTTTTTAAAACTGAAAAGTCCCCCAAAAAATAGGTTTAGTATATTTTTTTTTTTAAAAGTAAAAGTAAAAATTATTTAAAAAAAAAAAAAAAAAAACCAGTTAAGTTGTTGAACTTAATTTTTTAGTTGAGGTTCTACTTCCACTGCACGTATTTGTACTATGACGAGCTAATACTATAGAGTTTATTAGTACTGTGACGAGCAACTACTATGGTATTTATTACACTTTTGACGACTTGTGCATTAAACGGACAATAAAACATAAAAACACATCCCTACAATATTACAGACATAGACATACCTTCGTCCATTACAACGGAAATAGACATACCTATATTTAATACAACAGAAGTAGATATATCTTCCTTAATTACACCAGAAATAGATATACCTTCATTCACTACAACCGAAACAGACATAACTTCATTTATTACAACAGAAGCAGACATACCTTCATTCACTACAACAGAAACATACATACTTTTATTCAATACAACAGACATAGATAATAATAATAATAATAATAATAATAATAATAAAGTTCATTTCAAAAACACGCTTCATCACCAAAGGCTCGAAGCGCGGTAAAAGTCAACAAAAAACAAATCTATAATTTACCACATTTAAAACAAACGCAACACTACAAAAACTAATTACAAGCATACAATGTCAAAGTCTTTCTAGCCATTTCAACTTCATGCAGATATACCTTCAATACAAATAGGTTTCGGCCAACAACCGGGTTCCAAACATGGAAGCTCCACACGGCACTCTGTTCCTTCTTGACAAACCTGACAGATGTAGTACATTAAATTGGCTGATGGCTACATAATCTAGGTCAATGGATTAGGTTTTGTACGCGACCATCTTTCTTTTAGGAACATAATCCACAGTGGTCATCAATTTTACACGGGGATATCATGAATAACGAGTCAAAGATTAAATACAAATCAAATCATAAATAAAGCTTAAATTTTCTTCGAACGTTCCTCAGTCATGCGTTAAAAAGAATATTTTACCTCTTGTCTTATCTTAAGACATTGATGTATTTTACGAACATGACAAACTTTACGGTACCCAATAAACTATTCCTATATTTTAAGAAATAATATTGTCCTATAGAGAAAGGAAACTTACTGTGTCTCTGCAGAGAATTCTTACGTCCTTGGCAAAGTGTGGCAATGAAATACTGTAATCCATAACCTGGATGAAGGAAATGATATCAACAACTTTAAAGAAAACTGGATATAATGGCGGGGATTACAAAGCAACCTTAACTATCAGCATATTTTATCATAATGATACATTTTATCATAATGATACATTTTATCATAATGATAAATTTTATCATAATGATACATTTGATCATAGTGATACATTTGATCATAATGATACATTTTATCACGATGATACATTTTATCATAATGATACATTTGATCATAATGATACATTTTATCATAATGATACATTTGATCATAATGATACATTTGATCATAATGATACATTTGATCATAATGATATATTTGATCATAATGATAAATTTGATCATAATGATACATTTTATCATAATGATACATTTGATCATAATGATACATTTTATCATAATGATACATTTTATCATAATGATAAATTTTATCATAATGATACATTTGATCATAGTGATACATTTGATCATAATGATACATTTTATCACGATGATACATTTTATCATAATGATACATTTGATCATAATGATACATTTTATCATAATGATACATTTGATCATAATGATACATTTGATCATAATGATACATTTGATCATAATGATATATTTGATCATAATGATAAATTTGATCATAATGATACATTTTATCAAAATGATACATTTGATCATAATGATACATTTGATCATAATGATATATTTGATCATAATGATACATTTGATCATAATGATACATTTTATCAAAATGATACATTTTATCATAATGATACATTTGATCATAATGATACATTTTATCATAATGATACATTTATCATAATGATACATTTCATCATAATGATACATTTGATCATAATGATATATTTTATCGTGTTCTCGATAATGAAGCACTTGCACGGGAATTTCGCACCTTCTAGGGGTTCTTTAAAATGGGATCAATTTTGTGGAAAGGGTGGGTATGGAATCGATTTGATCTTACACGTCCTCTTAATGATATGATATGCAGTTCTATGTGGCACATCGGGGATCTTGATGCTAACACATCATAATGTTGAGGGATAAAGCGAAAGTAGAAAATAAGAAAATCCGAAGCCGTAATGTTTCCTGTGATGGTAATCATCAAAGTGAGGACTTCCTCAGACTGACGTGTTGATTTATGACAATAGTGATGAACAAACATACTGGCCGCATACAAACTAATTGGGTCACAGAAGAAGCGTCGCTAATTTTTTTAAAAATTAATTGGCTTTCTTTTAAAAATTCCTTCTTCGTTAAATTTGATAAAATTTTGGCTCGAAATCAAAGTAACTGATACAAACATTTTGCGCGGGGAGGGGGAGAGAAGTGTGCCTAGACTAAATGCTGCCAGGGCCAATTTCTAAAAGTTAGTATTATTATTAATACTGTATTTTAAGTTGAAGATGAATTGATCAATTCGACAGCCTCTCTCTCTCGACCTTGCATAATTGTTCCATGAGCCAAGACGACGGGAAATAGACCAGGATGCAGTTGATGACCAGCAGTGTGACCATGATGCAGTAGATGACCAGCAGTGTGACCATGAGGCATTAAATGACCAGCAGTGTGTCTTGTGTCTCACTGAGCTTTCAGTGCGTTCCATATGGAAGGAGTTGTCAGAATGTTCATTGTCCCACCACCTACGGGAATCCATCTCCGGATTAACTTCAGAGTACACCCCCTAACACACCCATCGATTTATATAATGTAAGGCCTATATGTATACACAGCAAATAGCCACTGGATAAGCCACTGTGGCAAAGTTTCGACTTTATAGGGGCATCTGGATGCCTTAACCAGTAACTGATTTTAACCTACTCACTTACTGTACCCAAATGGCTTAACGATGGCAAATGATGCATACTTGATCAGTCTTCCTTATTGATATAGTAATTGCTATAGCGTGCAGAGTCGCCACGTTCCATCTGACTCAACACAGCATTCCGTGGGTCATTTAATCGTGTCAAAGTAATTAAGTTCCAGGTCTTTCATGTGAGATATAAAACAACATCAGCAAAACTAACAATAATAATAACAGCAATGATAATAATAACAGCAATGATAATGTTACGCACTGACTTGTATTGGGAGAAATTAATCTCCTATTTTAATTTTAATTGGCTCGTTGTAAACAGTGCCTAACAAAGGACGATACCATAGAATCAACAATATTAAATATACGACCCAAAAAAGTTTCTAGTTACAATTAATTAAGATTTATTATGTCTTTAAGATAATTTACAAAAGAAAAGAAAAATATAATTACAATCTTCAACTTACAGTATGGTAGATCTCGTACCGGTACACAGTTAATACAATTAGAAATAATGATGCCAATAAATAATGCGAAATAAACACATATAAGTAGGAGCACACAAATACACAAAGAATAAAACACGCCTCGTAATGTTAAGAAAATCTATGTGAAAAATCTCCGTCCTCTCGTCCGTGCCTGTCAATCCCTTATATAGGTGGGTCTACCGACGCCTAAGCCCTGCCTTCGATAAGCTACTCGGCAGTTCTAGAAAAAGGTAGAATCATTCTACCAAATACTATTTGGAACAGATTAATTATTTCTATTCGTTGGCGGCGTAAACAAGAATACATCAAAGACCTAAGCCACACCCCTTTGTGAACACATCGTCTCATGCGGGGTCAATAAGAGGGCACGCACGAGAAATATTATGTAAACAAGCTCTCTGTAACAGATAACAATAACAATAATGATAATAAAAACAACAGTAATAATAACAATGATAGTAACAAGAGTGATAATAACTACCGATCAAAATAATAAGAACACGTCAATAATAGGTCTCATAAATAATATTAATAATTGAAATAAAATGTTCCAGAAATGCCAAACTTTCTTCTCAAGAATGTCGAGGCCAGAGAAGTCCGTAACATTACTCAATAGCCAGCTAAACGAATAATTCATCATTGTAATCAATTAGGCTACTTAAAAATAGAGACGTGAATTGAAACGAAACAAAATATAAAATGTATTTTTAGTTTAATTCTATCCTCAAACTCTTCATCATCATTTCCAATACATTTTTGTATTTTTTTCCAATACCTCTATAACATAAATAAACATGCTCTCTGTCCGGTCTCCAAACATTTCAATAGCCCTAACCATAATGGTATCTCAGATATTGTAGTTACTGGTATACTCGATACTAGTAACACTGCAGATAGAATCTATATGGAGAACAAATTAATAACTAGATTTGGTACGTTGTCTCCATATGGATTGAACCAAATCCATAGTTTTACTTAGCTGCCATGTCTTTTTCCTGTTTGGTTTTTCCAATTATGTTTGAATCACTTCCTTTCTACATCTCTTTACTTTGTTTTTGTCAGGTTTAAGCGCCCTCTCCTATATTTTTTCTGTTTTAGGTAGGATATATATATTGACATTATGTAAATTTAATTTATACTTATTTAAATGTGTTGTGTTTGTTTGTACTGATGAAGGCATGTGCCGAAACGTTTAATTCTGTATAATGTACAATTATTATTAAAGCTAACTCATATTGTTCTATTGACACAATTTGTTCGTGTCTTATTAATATATTTTAAAGCTTTATTGCAGTCCAACACTTTTTATAATACATTTTTGACAGGTTTTGAACGAGTTAAATTTGTCTTTATTTCTTAATTAACTGAACGGCTTACCAAGTGAAGGCCTAACCACACCATAGACCAAGGAAGCACGAAATAATTCATTTCCAAAGGTCAACTGATGGCCCTGCTCTTACAGGAACGTCCAATGTTTTAATCACTCTAGCACTTGTGTGTAATACTTCATAGTCTCCAGCACTGGTATGCAATAACACAATCTCCGGCACTTGAATGTAATGCTCCACACTCTACAGTGCTTGTGTGTGATATTTGACAAGCCTGCGAGAAACTGCCAGTTCATTATGCAGCTGGTCTGCTTGTAAAATAAAAGAGCCAGCTTATAATAGGATTTACTGCTGTTTAACATCTGTAGCGGGGATGAGATATTTTTTATGAGAAATGTCATGTTTTGGACACGTTGAAGGTAAGATCATGTTTTTGTTCTCTGTTGTAACGCATTTTGAAAAAAAAGGTAATAATTTAAGGGCTGAACATCACGAGCATTACAGCTGAGAGCTAGGTGAATAACTTACACGATTCAACATCAGCTTCAAAGTTGCCTGTAAATTGCTAGAAAAATTATTTGTTTAGTTACTGTAAGTATTCTGTTATTTAATATACTGTAAAATAGTTAAATATTCTGTTATTCTCAATAAAAAAATAACAGTTAAGCGACTCTTGGCCAAGCGTTCTTAAATGAGTACCAAGATTTACTGGAGTTCAAGCCCCAGCTAAAGCATAAAAAACATCACCAGCACGCCGGGTAGATGGGACTCATTAATCTTCGATGGCAACTCATCTAAGACCAGCACCCCGGGTAGATGGGACTCATCTAAGATCAGCACCCTGGTAGATGAGACTCATTAATCTTCGATGGCAACTCATCTAAGACCAGCACCCCGGGTAGATGGGACACATTAATCTTCGATGGCAACTCATCTAAGACCAGCACCTCGGGTAGATGGGACTCACTAACCTTCGATGGCAACTCATCTATGAGAGGGCAAACTCTGAAAAGTAACCCGGGGGGGGGGGTGCAGATGAAAAAACCCAAAGAGGACCAGGGCCATACAAAAAGACACTAACCTTCGATGGCAACTCATCTATGAGAGGGCAAACTCTGAAAAGTAACCCGGGGGGGGGGGGTGCAGATGAAAAAACCCAAAGAGGACCAGGGTCATACAAAAAGAGTTGGGTTATTCGTCTAATAGTTTCAACGTTTGAAAATAGTTAGTTAATTTGGCAAATGGTACAAGCGTTTGAAATATGTTGGATAATGTTACAAATGGTGGTACCAGCGGTTATAATAGTCTTGGTAATTTGGCAAATGGTACCAGCGTTTGAAAAGAGTTGGGTAACTGTGAAATAGGTAATGCTGTCATACTTTAAGAATGAATATGAAAGAATGGTACCAAATAATGGAATCTTGGGACTTTCTGGGGTAACTGGATGACTGTATCCCCGTTCGGCTTTGTACAATATTTGGACTTAATGATATTAGCTTTCAAATAAAAAATCTAACATCGCAATGGCTTACCAAAATCTAACATCTCAATGGCCTGCTAAAATCTAACATCGCAATGGCTTACCAAAATCTAACATCTCAATGGCCTACCAAAATCTAACATCGCAATTGCTTACCAAAATCTAACATCGCAATGGCTTACCAAAATCTAACATCGCAATGGCTTACCAAAATCTAACATCTCAATGGCCTGCTAAAATCTAACATCTCAATGGCCTGCTAAAATCTAACATCTCAATGGCCTGCTAAAATCTAACATCGCAATGGCTTACCAAAATCTAACATCTCAATGGTCTGCTAAAATCTAACATCTCAATGGCCTGCTAAAATGTAGCGTTTCAGCGGCCTGCTAAAATCAAATATTTCAATGGCTGGTTAAAATCGGACATCTCAACAGCCTGACGAAATCTAACATCTCAATGGCTTGCTATAATCTAATACCTCAAAATTTAATTGAATTTTTTTAAAGCCTCATTCCTTTATCTAGATTACGTAGTTTAGAGGTAAGCTGTCGGATACTGGTATTTTTGAACAACCCTCATCAATGGGTCCATTTTATGAGTGCGAACTGAAAACATCACGAGAACCGCTGCAGGCGCAATTAACAATCTAAAGTCAAGACGACCTGGAGATGAATTTTTAAGTCTGGGCCTTGATGTCGTATAGTTGGCAGGTTGATCCGGAGTAGGATTTATGAGAACACTTGTCTGAGGCTTGGGTTGTAAGAGTTGTAGGCACGGATATGTGGAGTCTAGACTCCACCACGGGTTAGTGGTGACATGGGTCTGTGGACTCTAATAAGGGTTAATGGTGACATGGGTCTGTGGACCCTAACTAAGGTTAGTGGTGACATGGGAATATGGACTCTAACAAATGTTACTGATGACACATTATTAGTTGAGTCTAGCCATAGATAGTATTCTTAGCATAGATCTGGTAGACTAAATGAACACTGAAGATTGATCACAATTTGATCTCAAAGTAACACATTAGCGACACTAGCCACTCGTACATGTCACTTCCAACCTTCTTTTTATTTATTAATTATAGCAGTTGAAAATAACAATTAGTTATAATCAATATATCAAGATGGTTGACATTTTATTAACGTATGACACCACTGTCTCCATCAGAAGGGATTTGTGTCCTACAGTGCCCTACAGTGTCATCGAGTGTTCTAGGTGTCATGGAGTGTCCTACAGTGTCATGGAGTGTCCCAAAGTGTCATGAAATGTCCAACAGTTTCATGAAATGTCCTGCAGTGTCATGGAGTGTCCTACAGTGTCCTGGAGTGTCCTACAGTGTCATGGAGTATCCTACAGTATCACATAGTGTCCTACATTGCCCTAGACTGTTTCTCATTCATATTCAACCATTGACTTGTCTTCAAGTTTTTTACTTTATAAAGCTCTGTCCAAACACGTATAATGAATCTAAGGCTTCAATATTTTATTTAGTTTTGGGTCCCCAATGTCTCTCAGCTGGGCAACTCTCTAAAGAATTCTTGATAATGCCTAGAGGTGTCTATGATTGATAATGTCTAGAGGAGTCTACGATTGATAATGGCTCGAGGTGTTTATGATTGATACTATCTAGACGTTTCTATGCTTTATAATGACTACAGGTGTCTATGATTGATAACGGCTAGATGTGTCTGATTGATAATGGCTAGAGTTGTCTATGATTGATAATATCTAGAGGTGTCTATGATTGACAATACTGATAATGGCTAGAAGTTTCTAATTTTAAAATGCATATAGTACCACTCTGAGCAAATTTAAAAAAAAATACAAAAAAAAACAATAAAACTTGTTCATAAATATTTAATAATAATATTTTTACATGGTAATGAGTGCCATGTACATAGTCAAATCTATACAAGATGAGATCCAGTTATATAAATTTTATAAATGCAAGTATGGCAAACTGTTTTGTCACTAGGTAAATGGCCACCAGAGAGAATATGGCATAGAGTATTATAGTTAAAGTAAATGGCCACCACAGAAACAAAGAAATACAGTAATTTAATGGCTACCATAGAGAAATAGGCATACAGTACTGTAGCTAATGAGATGCCCCCAGAGAGCCTATAGCATACAGTATTGTAGCTAATGAAATGACCACCAGAGAGAATATGGCATACAGTATTGTAGCTAATGAAATGGCCACCAGAGAGAATATGGCATACAGTATGGGGGCTAATTAAATGCCCCCAGAAAGAAGACCAAAATTTGACACCAAATCAAGCAACAACAAAAAGCGTACAAAAACCTTGATTCATCTAGACTGCTTTGAAATACGGGACGGGAGCACAGTGGCCTTGTGTCACCTCGACCCACCTTGACCCCACACAAGGACAGAAAAGTCAGGAGACATATCAAAGTTACCCACAACTCCTCGACTGTCAAACGTGTGTACAAATGATGAGTACGAAAATTGCATTAAAATGTGACGTGCGTTTAAAGCGGAGTTAAACATTTCGTGCACAAAAATAAAATGACGTATTGCGAACGCCAACACAACACCAACTGCCGACTCACCGTCTTAAGAAAATTCAAAGAAGGGACAGATAAGGAGTGATTAGATGTCCATAATATGGGAAAACTATATGTGTCCGTGGTCCTCGCGGGTGTAATGAGCAGGACGTATGGTCCGTCCTACTGATGTTCATGACGCAATCATTAGGTCTTGGATGCCATTAACATGGTGACCCTTGAGAAACTGATCAAAACATTTTCAAGGGGAATGTCGTTTTTATTGTACAACCTTATACCGGAGTGTGCTTCATTAAGTATTGGTTTGAGAGTATCGCAACAAGCTAAGTCGACATTGATCAGAGTAAATGTGAACATCTTCTTAACACCATCAGTTCGTATCTTGATGTAGATCATAAAACATGTAAACATCTTCTTAACACCATAAGTTCGTATCTCGATACAGATCATTAAAAAATGTACATGTCTCTTTACTAGCTCAACTTCATATCTTGTTTTTAAAGAATCTATTTCTTGAAATTTTTATTTCACCATTAAAACAAAAGTTAGGAGTCAAACAAACTTGTAAAATGAAAAAAAAAAAAAAAAAAAAAAATCATTTTATAGACAATTTTTAGTTGCCACATGAAAATTTTTAAAATAACAAAAATATGTACATATTGGAAATGGTACTGATGTGGTAAGAGAAAGCATTTGTCGTTATTTTTTAATGATATGCCTAAACATGCATGTGTAGTATACTACATCTGAAAGACTTAACATTATCACAAAAATAATGTCAAATATTTGATCCAGGTACGGAATCAAAAGTGTAAAGCTGGTATATAGAACTACAACTCTGCATTCATGGTCACAATTTTACATAGAACAACAACAATGTCTTCGTAGTCACAATGTTACATAGAACCACAACAAAGTATTCATGGCCACAACATTACATAGAGCTACAACTGTGCATTCATGGTCACAATGTTACATAGAACCACAACAATGTATTCGTAGTCGCAATGTTATCTCCAACAATAATCGCATGGACGAATCCGCCCCTGGTAAACAGTTCGCCCATAATTTAAAATATCGGAGGGTGGTCAGCTGATAAAGATACTCCGCCGCTGGACCTTGACCCTTGCCTGGTTCTACCTTTGAGCACGCCCTTGGGTGGGAAGACCAGCACTTCACTGTCTTCATCTGACACGCCAATACTTTCATAGTTTAATCCTGTGTGCCGGCTGTCTGCAATATACAAGGACTCGCTTTTTCTGTAAATGAGGAAATATTA